TGTATTTGATAAGTGGGGAGAACTTGCTGATTTTTAAACCCAATGAATTTGGAACAAATCTGCATTGATCCAAAGGGAAAACAATTGGGAATCCAGGCCCCCAATGTTACCCACAGGCACTGACGATCAATAGCTTGTGGTTTTCTCGCTGTTCCAAGTTATTGATGGCTACAGAGAACCACCTTCTCTAAAGGACAAGAGTATTTCTAAAATATTACAATATTTCCTCTCTCTGGCAGTTTGGGGGGGCCATGGAGGTGAGCAGCATTTACTTATCCCTCTCTGATTTTCATTAAGCTACACGGACAATAGAGAGAGAAATAAAAATAGGCTGTACCTTTAAGGAGTTAGTATGTTTTCTGTTTAGTTCAAAACCTACAGGACTGTGGGCTCTTTAGAGGCAGGGCATCTGTCTCCATCATTATGTACCCACACACGGCACCATGACTGACATACAGATAATGCTCAAAAATATTTACTTAATAAATGAATAAACAATAATTTACTATGGACTAAAAAAACAAGAGGTCAGATGTTTGGGACCCCAGAAAGATTTCAAAGCAGACCAAGCTTTCATAGTCAAAGATTAGGGTATTTTCCTGTGCCTATGAGGTCTTTAGACATTATAATATTATGAAGATTTAACTGTAATAGCAAATTATCTCTCAAGGTGGGTGAGGGGGGTCCCCAGACTACTAAGCTAAGTGAAGACTCTCCTTCCAGGCAGGAAGTGAAGGCAGCTGAGAAGCACAGAGGTGGTGCTTGACACCTGTTCTGAACAGGGAGGTCGGTGATGATGGTCCATGGAGCATGGAAGCGGATTCTAAATTTCACTGTCTTATAGTCACAGCTTTTCTTTCTTTTCTGTCTACCTCCAATCCCTGCTCCCAGCAGATATTTACCTGGAAAAGAGGAGCCTGCTTTTCTGTGCTGGACGTCTTGTTGATCCATGATTCCAATGGTTGCCCGGTTCTAGGGCTCTGAGCGACCACAGGAAACTTAGCGGCCAGGGCTGGGCGGCTGGACACATGCAGCTGCTGCTCCTGCTGCACGGCCTGGAGCTTCTGCAACAGCTCTTGAGGGGAGATCACTCCAGAACTACTATTCTGACCACCAGGGAGGGAGAGTGGTTGTATCGGGAGTGTGGCCTGTTCCTTCCCATGAGCCTGATGTCCTAGTGTCTGAAGTGGAAGGGAGCCGTTGAAATATACCAGTGGTGGCTGAGCCAGACCCTTTCCTGAAGCCACAGGGGCGGCAGAAGTGGGAGCTCGGCTGCAGTTTGCTGCCCCTGGAGAATTCTGAAGTTTCTCTAACAGGTTCTGAGTTCTGGAAGCATTTTGTGCACCATGAGAAATTCTAATGTTATGGGGAGACCCTGGCTGGACAGGTCCAGCAAAAACTTCCCTTGAAGAATGGGTAATGCCATTTTCACAGGGCTGGTGTTCAGGCAGCTCTGACAATGGATGCAGGTCTGAACTCCTGACCATGAGCTTCTGAATGGCTGGACACAGCTGCTTCTCAATGGGGGGTGAGCGTCTCTTGGGTTCTTCATAGTACAGGGAGCGTACAACCCCCTGCCTAACTGGAAGCTTCTCTTGCTGCTGCTGCTGCTGCTGCTGCTGGAGGGACAGCGGAGGCTCCGGAGGCTCCGCAGCTTCCTGACACACAGCTCTGTCCTGCTTCCCAAACAGAGCTGTTAAGGATAAGTGCTGGGGCTCAGGGTCTAAGATCTGTAAAAAGTAAAGATATCTGAGCATGGGCCCACATAGTTTTATTATTAATATATGGGGGAGGTATGAAATATAACTTACCCAATGATTTCTACAAAGGCTTGATTAGAGAAGATAAAAAACTTAATTATAAAAAAAAAACTTTAAAATGTGAAACTTTTCTTTTAATATCAAAATTTTTTACAGCATTCTCCCCCACCCCCCAAGACAGTTGTTATATTTTAGTATCTATTGATTAATCCTTGAGGAGCTTGGTGTTTCACAGTTGTGCACCACTGTGGTACCAAATTATATACACTGAAAGGTAAGTAGTCTCTTCAGAAGGCATCTATCTAACCCTGCAGACCACAAGAAGATACTGAGAACACACAGAAATATGAGGATTTCAGAATTCCTGGGAGCTCTTCTTGGAATTATAGAAACCTAGGGCTGGTAAGAAACTGAAGTCATTTAATCTAATTTGATCTTTTCAACTATATCCTAGTAGCAGGTAAAAATCATGAGATATGCAGAGTCTATCTTGCCCAGCCAGATCTGAGGCTATGTCCTTCCTGCTGCATGGACCTCTACCTCTTCTTGTCGCTTTCTGGATTACTGCTCTAAAAGACATAAGCTTCATTCTAAAGTCAACATAGTCTAATCTCTCTGTTGGAATATAATAAGAAAATTTCCACAAAAAGCAAATTATGCAAAGGAAGTCAAAGAAATTAGGAAAGCCTTCTTTTTTAAAAATTTAGCGTAAGACTTTCATGAGCTAGTCTTTATGTATTTTGGCTCCGTGCTTATTTTCACAATTGACTTAAACTAATTCCTTCTGTTAAAAGAAAACAAAGCTCAGCACCTGTAGCAGAGTGGTTATGAAGCCAGCACATACACTGAGGGTGGCGGGTTCAAACCCAGCCCAGGCCAGCTAAACAACAATGACAACTACAACAAAAAATAGCCTGTGGTCCCAGCTACTTGGGAGGCTGAGGCAAGAGAATCACTTTAGCCCAGGAGTTGGAGGTTGCTGTGAGCTGTGATGCCACAGCACTCTATCCCCCCCCAAAAAAACCTCTTTAATGAAGAATAACCATGACAAGGGCAGGGCGTCATGGCTCCTGCCTGTATTCCTAGCACTCTGGGAGGCTGAGATGGGCGAATTGCTTGAGCTCAGGAGTTCAAGACCAGCCTGAGCAAGAGTGAGACCCTGTCTCTAAAAATAGCCAGGCATTGTGGCAGGCGCCTGTAGTCCCAGCTACTTGGGAGGCTGAGGCAGGACAATTACTTGGGTCCAAGAATTTGAGGTTGCTATGAGCTATGATGCCATGGCACTCTACCAAGGGTGACAAAATAAGACCCCATCTCAAAAAAAAAAAAAAAATCACCATGAAAAAAAAATTAAAAAAGAATAACCATGATGAAATGACACAGTCATGTTATGTTTACAATCAACAATAGGATCTGCAGATTAGCAATTTTTGTCATTGCCATACTATTCTGAAAAAATATACTGACATAAAAGTTGCTATAATATTTACATTTTAGAGTGCAAATATAGCAACTAGGCCTCAGGTCCAAAGAGGAATTTGCTACCACTGTTTAGACCCTGAGCTTTTGGGGAACAGGTACCTCACTCTATAGACTTAATGCTCAACACTGTCCTGGGTATTAAGGAGGTACTTAGAAATGTTAAACTCAATATGGTGGCCTTGGGAAAGCACCCACCCCAGGGGAATATGGGTAATGTTCCTGTCATCTCTGACAATGTTATTATTTGTCTGTTGTCTTTTAAGAAATACATTATCTTTTAAGGAGTTCAAGTCTACAGAGATTAGCACAGTATGTGGTAAATACCAAAAGTAAAAATTTTAACCCTTTTCTAGGAAGAGTAAGTTATTAATAATAATTTTAAAAAATCTCTAATCTGCAATCTCTTTCTTGGATTTGCCATAAAGCGTTCTTCAACAGCACTAGGCCCTCTCTTGATTACACTCTGGGTCAAAGTCCTTTAAGCATCCTACAGAGACACTCAATATAAAAAGCAGAGGACTTGTACCTGGCTGGGCTGAGGTATGCGCTGCTGCTGGTTTTCACTGGGTTTCACCGGAATTGGTTTGATGAGATTGGGGTTGTCATAGATGGCAGATGAACTGGCTATCTTTTTTGGCTCAGAACAGGTTTTACACTGAAATGGGGAAAAAAAAAAAAAACAAACCTCACTTCATTTTTGGTATGAAATAAGCTTTAGTCTTTTTAAAAGAATATACCTTCTTGCTTCTTATCTAATTGGTAGGTGGCTATTTTATAATACATTTTCATGCATAAAGGACAATCCCTAGAATTTCTCTTAAAGGAGCTATATTTGAGTATAAATCAAGTTCAAATTTAATTTTTTGCAAGTGCACAATTCATTGCTCTAAAATATTACCCACCACATCAGGCTGTAGGACTGAGAAGCTCTTAGGTACTCAATACCTGTATACAGAGGGTACCCCCCAAAAGCATACACATGTTATAAAAGGAAAAACTATATTAAGTGTGGAATATTCAAGTCATGTTTGACTTCTGCAATTACAAGAGGTGCTCAACATGACTTGTATTCATCTTTTGTTCAGTATATATGGTGTATTATAATTTAAATATTTTTCCTTTCTTAAAATGTATATACTTTTTTGGGCACTTTCTGTGTATGCTGAAGAAGTAATAGTTTACAAACACGTAGTCTAATGTCTTTTAATGATAAACACTTACAGGAATTACTCCTGAAATAACACATCTGGATTACAGTCGTGTTTCTTCCTTCCATTAGCAATTGATTTAAAATCGGAGAGTTGCTGAGGACATTTCATCAAAGCAACTAAACCTTTTTGGTCTACAAACCAAAAAATAAAGCTGACTCAAACCACTGATTTTAAAATCGCTAACATAGTCTTTATTTAATAAATGACTTCTTGTATAAACAGAATAATTCAAATCTGAGTGTTCTGAACCACTTACTACAAATTAGAATTTCATACAGAAAGAGACAAGAGACAAGCCTCATCATTTCAAACCCTGACTCATTATCATACATTAATCTAACCAACCATGCAATTGCTAACACAGGAGGATTCATAACAGAAAGGGCATAGCAATGATGTTGGTGTCTATTTTGCTAACACACCAAATCAAACAATATAAAAATGCTACCTTCTAAGATGCAGACTCTTTAGCATTGTTCATTTCAACTGTTCAGTCAAGGCCTCTGGCCAGAAAATACTTCTTACTAATCCTGACATGGAATGCACTATAAACACAATTTCATCCCTCAGGAACCCATGGTTACGGATATGTTTTATAGATATTGGGGTGTTCTCTAATGCAAAGGTTTAGGGGGCGTGGGGCCTGTTACTACTGTGTGTACTTAGGTTTATAAGGTTACCCAGACAAAAGACTAATTATTTCCTTTCAAGTATTGTCAATAATTTTGGATATTTGGTACAACCATTAGGTGGTACGTAAAATCACTTTATAAGTCATATAGTACTATTTCTAATTTGTAGGTGAATGATGGTGCTCACTGGTATGGCTGCATGGAGCACTGGCTTGACTTTCCCAACCAAGACAAGAACACAGCCTAAGATACAGCCTTTTTTTTTTCTTTTGGGCAGTTTTTGGCTGGGGCTGGGTTTGAACCCACAATCTCCAGCATATGAGGCCAGTGCCCTACTCCTTTGAGCCGGAGGCGCCACCCCTAAGATACAGCCTTTACAAATTGTACCATGAAAAACCTTTAACTGCCACTTGCTGTTTAAAAGAAAGTGGATGCATACATTCACTGAAAGACCCATTTTGTACTTCTTTGTTTCCTATGTTCAAGAACACTGAATTTAAAGCAAACAAAAGTGATTTTTCCCACCTTCCTTCTGCTCACATCCATGTGGGCCAGGAGGTTGCTTTGTCTCTTGACATGTACAACCCCCAGACAGCTTTCACTAACTCAAACCTATCTCTAGAAGCTGTTTCCTCTGTCACTACAGCTGTCTATCTACCTACATACAAAGCTTGGCTTTTATGTAAAAATTGCTCCCTCTTATCAAATTGCTCAGAATTAATCATCCACCCCAACAGTCTGTAGCTCATTTTCCAGTTGTTTAATTTTCTATACTGCTCCCAACTCAAGTATCTTTAAAATACTTGGGAAAAAACATAGTTTTTTTAAAAAATGAGTAATAGGGCAGTGCCTGTGGCTCAGTGAGTAGGGCGCCGGCCCCATTTGCTGAGGGTGGTGGGTTTGAACCTGGCCCTGGCCAAACTGCAACAAAAAAATAGCCAGGCATTATGGTGGGTGCCTGTAGTCCCAGCTACTCAGGAGGCTGAGGCAAGAAAATCACCTGGACCCAGGAGTTGGAGGTTGCTGTGAGCTGTGACGCCACCGCACTCTACCGAAGACGATAAAGTGAGACTCTGTCTCTTAAAAAAAAAGAGTAATAGATTCTTCATAGAGAACCTGAGGCAATTCTTTTAAACTGCAAGAGTTATATCACATAATTCCATTTTTATCACACACAAACACACATTCCCACACATATGTATCTATGCCATGAGGGCAATGTGAAAGAAAATAAAATTACAAATAGTAGATATCCTTTTTATATTTTGAATTTTCTCGTTCAATAGCAAAAGACAACATTTCTTTCTTTCTTTCTTTCTTTTTTTATTGTTAGGGATTCATTGAGGGTACAAGAAACCAGGTTATGTTGATTACATCTGTTAGGTAAAGTCCCTCTTATAAGACAAAATTCTATAACTTCAAAAGTAAGTCCCAAGTATATCCAGGAAGAAACAATTAATTCTTGTCTTAAGCCACAAAACACAAACTAGTCCACTTCTGAATACTCCAAGTTTAACTGCAGCTTGTAGATCATTTATGGCCCTGGTTCTTTTTTGTACTGAACTTTGGTTATTTTATTGTTCATGTGCACCTCAGCTAGAACCTGAACAGGGACAAGGTAAAAACAGACAAACTACAAATTAACACCACTGCTGCTTTAAAGCAGATTCATAGAAAGTTATTTCTCAGGGGAGAATGCATATATTATTGGCCACACTAAGATTTCAAGTTATTAACTTCCTGTCAAAAGTTGTATCTAGTTTCACTAGACTTCACTTACCAATATCATATACTAATAGCTCAATTTTTTTCCTACTTTTACTTTTTGGGATTTCCATAAATTTGAGAATTCTAGAGAAACTTAAATATGAGACTTGAAGCTGTAAAACTACTAGAGCAATGGTTCTCAACCTGTGGGTCACGACCCACAGGAACTGTAGTAAAGGGCCACGGCATTAGGAAGGTTGAGAACCACTGTACTAGTGGAAATCTAGGGAAAAAGCTCCATGGCATGGGTCTGGGCAAAGACAATCAACAAAAACAACTGGGATGATATCAAACTAAAAAGTCTCTGCACAGTGAAGGAAACAACAGAGTGAAGGGATGAACTATGGAATGGAGGAAAATACTATTGCTGCACATCATGCATCCGATAAGGGGCTAATATCTGAAATATATAGGCAACTCAAACTAATATTGTCAACAGGAGTTAATATACTGTCATATATAAGTCAATAATTAGAAAACATGCTGATTTAAAAATAGGCAAAGGACCTGAATAACCATTTTCAAAAGAAGACATGCAAATGGCCAACGGTTATATGAAAAAAATACTCAACATCACTAATAATCAGGGAAATGCAAATTAAAACCACATAATATCACCTCAAATGTGGCTGTATCTCTACTACCAAAAGGTGAAACGTTAAGTGTTAGTGAGGATGTAGAAAAAAAAGAATCTTTGTACCTTGTTAGTGGGAATGTAAATTGGCACAGCCATTATGGAAAATAGTATGGAAGTTCCTCAGAAAATTAAAAAAAGAGCTACCATGTGATACAGCAATCCAACTACTGGGTATATATCCAAAGGAAATGAGATCCTTTGGGTTTCCAATCCAGGGATGCCATTCGGCTTTAAAAAGGAAATCATTGTAACAACACAGATGAACCTAGAGAACATTACGTTAAGCAAAATAAACCAGGCAGAAAGGCAAATACTGCATAATCTCACCTATATGTGGAATCCAAAAAAGTCAAACTCATCAGAGAAGAATGGTGGTTGTCAGGGGCTCAGGGAGTGGAGAACATTGAGAAGATTTGGACCAAAGGATACAAAATTCCAGTTAGGTAGGAACAATAAGTTTTAAGAGGTCTACTGTGGGAGGGAGGCAAGACAGCTGACCGAAGCCAGCTTTCAGCAGAGGTTCCCATCCAGAGGGAGAAATAATGGCCAGAAATAACCCAATAAAGCGGAAGATCAGGAGCTGAGCTGAGAGGAGAGATAGGTTCACATCACCACTCCTGAGACAAGCTGGGACTTCAAGGAAACAAATTTCAGGTATAAAACTCATCCCAAAGAGGATGAGAATCCCCGCCACCCCACCTCAGAGCAGCTTGAGATGAGTAGAGAACAGAGGACCTTTTGTTTCACCAAAGAAGAGGGAATGACTAAGGGCTGGGACTTCCTCCACAGAGAGATATTGCTATAAGCCCAGGCAGTCTCTTGCCTGGGCCAAAAGTTGATCTAATATTCTTCCTACCTTCCTGAACTCCCAAACTACCCCTCATCCCCCCTCCTGGCAGTCTGGAAAATTACCCCCTACAAAATCCAGAGAGTTTGGCAGATTTTTGCTAGGGCGGGGCACCTCATGAGCTGTGGGACAGTTGTACTGAAACTATAACTTTATTTATTTTTTTTTTAATTTTTTGTTTGTTTTTTTTTTTTGAGAAAGGAGCCTTAAGCTTTCCCCCTGGGTAGAGTGCTGTGGCATTTCAGCTCACAGCAACCTCCAACTCCTGGGCTCAAGTGAGTCTTCTGCCTCAGCCTCCCAAGTAGCTGCGACAACAGGCACCCGCCACAACACCCGGCTATTTTTTGGTTGCAGCCATCATTGTTTGGCGGGCCCAGGCTGGATTCGAACTCGCCACCTTGGGTGTACGTGGCTGGCGCCTTAGCCACTTGAGCCACAGGTGCCGAGCCAAAACTATAACTTTAATAGAGGCGGAGAGTTACAAGGGGAGAGAGACTTGCCCTGTGTTGGAAAGAGCATTGCTCGGGTCCTGTGCTACCAACCACCAGGGACCGTGGCCCA